TGTAGTCATTGTTTTTTGTTTCCCAATTTAGGGTGAACCTGATTTCTGTGTAATCACTGTTCCCGAGTTCTCCCTCTATTGTGATATCTCTGATAATATTTTCTTTATTTGTTAATACTAGGTCTAATATATTGTCACCTCTAGTAGGTTCTGTAATTAGTTGTTTTAAAAAAATGTCCTGTACTGCATCTAGGAAGTCTTCAGATTCATAGTCACCTACAATGTTGTCCCAGTCAATATTTCTGAAGTTGAAATCCCCCATAATGCACAGGTTGTTGCATTTTGCTGCCCTACTCATTTCCTGCCATAAGGGCTGAGCTGCTTCTTTCCCAAGACTTGGGGGCCTGTAAATCACTCCCATAATTAGTTTTTCTATCCCTTCCGCAATTTCTACCCAACAGACTCGGTTCCTATTTCACGCAAACAGACTCAGTTCCTATTTCACCCTTTATTGAATTATTAATACAACATTTTAATGTATCCCTGACGAAAAATGCAACCCCTTCCCCCTTCCTACCTTCCCTGTCCTTGTGAAAAAGGTTGTACCCTTTTATGTGGTACTCTGATAAAAATTTCTTGCTTGCCAGATTCAACCAAGTTTCGGTGATTGCTATAGACGTCTACATTCTCGGTACATGCAACCGCTCTCAGCAAGTCTTTTATTTCTAACGCTCCAACTGTTTGCATAGTATACATTTAAACCTACCCTTCCCTGGTTCTGTTTTACCCCTTGTCCTGAGTAACCAATTTTACTCCGCGGGACATGCTTGTTTTTTTACTCCCATTTACCCCGACCTCTCTCTCTCTCTCTACTGGCGAAACCCCCCATTTGGAGTGACAATTTCACGCTCCAGGGATGCAGACAATGCAAGTTATATTCTCTTACGTCAAGTCTGTAATATTTTATAAGAGAAGACTTTAAGCCTAAAACAAAATTCTTCCCATAAATCATTACCCTCTGCTCCCCCCCTACTGGCTGGGAGGATGGAGGGATGGTGGGGTGTCGACAGTCAGGAGGGGAGATTAACATTTACTGATGGATTATAAAAGGCAGGGAGTTTAATTTTTTTGCTTATAAAATGACACTGACTTGACTTAGGAGAAAATAACTTGCATTGCTGGAATTCATGTAAGATAATGATTAATTTGAGTACACCTGTATAAACATCCCTTATTTTGCACCATCCATAAATTATTTTTTATTAACTTAGTACATTTGAGTACAGGTTGTGATAATTTATGTGGTGCTCAGCAGTTGTGGTTGCATATACAAAGCTTCAGGACATCACTGGTGTATAATGAGTCCCCATATGCCCTGGTTTATTCATTGATCAGTTGTCTAAGTGCAAAAGTATCCCTGTCTGGCTATCATGTAACAATTAATTTTAAAATAGAAATTATAATGTAAAATGTTATAAGACAATGGTTTAGTAGTGCTGTTAATGTGTGTGCTGTGTAAGTGTCTTGGCATTTCACCTCACCACCTGACTCCTGAACAAACTCTTTTTCAACTTTTTAAATCCTACAATGTGCTTGGAGAGCTAAAAAAAAAAAACACACACACACACAAACACACCACATATAAATAAATACAATAATTGGTAAATCCTCTCACAAATAATCAGAAACAAGACAACAAAATGTATCGAAATGTAGAAAAAAATGCGAGTCTACCCTCATGTCAACTCCATGCTTTGTTATTAAAGTTGGGTTGGTTGGGTTGCCATATGGCAATTTCTTCCTCATAAAATTACTGACTCTAGAATGAATAGCATCTGAAGGCCAACTGGGTTAATACGTAGATCAAACTTACAGAATTTCTTTCGTAGCCATCTAGCCAACCCAACATGAAGGATGTCAGTGATTGTGGTGTAATGCTGCACTTTATTTCACAATGTGTATTTAAGATGGGGTGTGCATGTACCTGAGTAAAAATAAATGAAGAAAGTTATGCATATCTACCCAAAAATACAAGTTGAAAACAACCATAACACCTCACAACTTGGCCCAATAGCCTGGTGGTTACAATGATGAGCTAACCTAGGTACAATGCCATGATTAATCACTATTAAACACTATTCTATCAGTAAATACTAATAATAACAGTAATTCCAGTGAAATATGGCAGGGAGTGAGGAGAGTTACAACTGCAAACGATGTGCTAACTAGCAGTCACTCACTCATTCAACTTACCCGCTCCCGTTGCCAGGCATACGTGTGGGAGAAATACATGCTCTTCTATTGTTTGGGCACCTTCCCCCATGCTGGATGAGACCAGAGTAACACACGCAAAACGGACAAGTGTTTAACCCGGATTGTCACTGAAGCGGAGTGAACGCACATGGCCCAGCCACCTGGGACATGAGAGACACCTGGCAGGAAGCCATAAAACGTGTGGGCTCCCCATCCCATCTCAGACATTCTTGGGTACATCCAGGGTGTCATCCACGAATAATCAAAGGTTACGAAATAAGAATCCGCAAATTGTAAATGCACACTGTACAGTAATATGAAGTTGAATATTAATTTCTATTTCAACCCAAAAGCTTGTTTCAATTCAAATTACTGAATGGAAATACAGTGAGTTCTGCTATAACGCGTGTTTTGACAACGTGAATTTGCTCGAACGCGATTTATGAATTGAGGAACGATATTTGTAAAACGCGAACTCGTTTGCTCTAACGCGATTCTACTTGAACGGTTGTTGTGGCTTCAGTTCACGTTCGACATCACATGTTCAATTGAGTTATATGTTTTGTTTGTGAACAATTGCAGAAATAATGTATGTAATATTTATGTATACAGTATACCTGTATATTATAAGTAAATTGTAAAATTTTACATAAAAGAGAAAATCAAATTACATAGCGTTTTACACCCGCGCTCTCTTTACATCACACACAGTGTTTACAGTTCACGTTCGACATCACATATTCAATTGATTTATGTGTTTTGTTTGTGAAGAATTGCAGAAATAATTTATGTAATATTTATGTATACAGTAAACCACTCACAAGGTCCTACAGTACCACTAATTATTTTATACTGAAACTTACGTTTGGGAAGCTGGATTAAAATGAAGATTACCGGTATATTAAAATAATAAAAATGTATTATAAACCAGTCTAACATACCGTAATAAACACAGCTGCTATTATCATCCCCCCCCACCCCCATTTGCCAGTGACAAGAAAGGGAAAGTGACCTTGACTGCGACCGCCTGTGGCTATTTTTAGTCGTCCTTGTGTTCGGAGGTGGTCAGTAATGCATATCTGTATATTTACTGATCATAATACTTATCTCTTATAAATAATTCATTTAAAATTTATTTTTTTGCAAAGAATATTCAGTAAATGACTGCATTAATTCTTGAAACTACCTACAGTGGTAAATTTAGGATATAAATAATGAACAGAAGTCACGTCATGGATTCGGAATTTGGTCCTTAACGATCACCATAAATGTAGCCTCCCTTTTTCGCGAAACATGTATATAAATTAAAGAAAATACTTGCAGTATATTTAATATATTACAGGATATTATATATAAATAAATAAACAAATAAATTCAAATTCCCTTATCATCCTGTGTCATATACAGAAATACTTGAGTCCCTGAGCGAGTACACAAAAAGAAAATGGAGGACTAAGACATCCTGAAGTGGACAGAGAACGGACATCTCTACTGGGGGACTCAAACGTTTCTCATGTTTTGTGGGCACTCTAGCATAATATGAATAATATGTAAATTACAATTTACTTATACAGGTATATATATGTAAATTGTAAAAATTTAAATAAAAGAAAAACTAAATACGTAGCGCTTAAAGTGTACTGTACAGTACAGTGCTGTGGCTTGGCGCGGGGTTATGCAGTGTTTACAGTTCACGTTCGACATCACATATTCAATTGATTTATGTGTTTTGTTTGTGAAGAATTGCAGAAATAATTTATGTAATATTTATGTATACAGTATACCTGTACAGTATATGTAAAATGTAAAATTTTAAATAAGAGAAAAACAAAATACATAGCGCTTTAGACCCGCGCGCTCTGTTTACTCCACACTTTGTTTGAAACACGTGAAGTTTTTAAGTGTCCTCAGTGAATTCTGATTACTGTTTCTCCAATTTTGTGACTATGGAAAAGAAGAATATCTCTGGGAAGCACTCTGGTGATCCCATTTCCGGTGGTGATCGTAAAAGAAAGGCTATAACACTTGAAGAAAAGCTTGATGTTTCATGACTCCTCAGCCTCAACATCAACCTTCTCCCCCATCAAGTTATATTCATATTTTTTCAAAGTAAAGTGTAACATTTACTGTATGATTTCATTATTAGATATGAATGTAACATTTATTTAGACTGTGCTATCCTTTGTGTTAGGCTAACTACGAAATTTTTTTTTCGATTTGGAGTAATCTGCACCTAACCCTATTTTCTCCATAAGCCCTGTTATTTCTATCACACGAATTTCTATAACACGATGTTTTACAAGAACACTACTATCGCGTTATAGCAGAACTACCTGTAACTATGTACTGATGGATGAAGAGACACAAGTGACCCCATATGGCAGAGACATATAACTTATATACAGTACAACTAAATAACTTATCAAGGAGTACCAGATTTGCTTAAAATGTAAGGTTACATAATCTTATCTGGAAAATAGAGGTAGATTAAAATAATGTTTCAAATTTTGTTTCCCAATTGCAAAATTTTCTGTAATTTTAATTTACTGCACTGGTAGATCTATTGAAATGTTTCACATTACAAAATGCTTTGTTACTATTCGTAGTAGGTTAACACCTAACACTGCATCAAAGTACACTGTATTGGATTATTTATGAATGTTTTTATATAGCAAAAATGAATGAAAGATGAAATTACTGAAATTTTTTTGACTTATTCAATAAAAAATTTATGAAATTATGGTACATGCAAGAATAAAAAAAAATGCTTTTGTTACAACTATAAAGATTGTCTAATCACTCCATACCTTTCCTTCAGTCAATTTGTAGATGAGCCATGTGTCAATGGTTCCAAACATAACATGTCCTTCATGTGCTAGCTTCCTCACCCTCTCTTCATTTTCTAGAACCCATTTCAGCCTCATGTTTACCTGAAAATATTGTGCATTAATTGAGAGCAGAGGTTATTGATACAGGTGATGTACAATTGTACATAATGCAGTGGAACAGAAAAAGACCCATAACCACTGAGACCAAGCTATAAACAGGTTATAGGACTTTACAAATTTTAGAAACATATCTTAAACCTGTTATCGCCGCCCTCGTATGCAGCGACCTCTGACTCACATACCATGTGATTGGTGGTGGCCGGTGGCCACCTCGCCAGATGTTCGTGGATGCACAGCAAGCATTTCGTTGTTATGATCATAGATAAGGGCTTGGGATGCCTCTGGCTGACAATATCGTCCTGCCCCTTCAAGTGTACACACACTAGCTATAATTAGGAGTTACTTGGAGCGACACTAGGAGTTAAGTGGAGCTATAATCCAGCACACATGAGTGAAAGAATGGTGATTATTTGTATTTTGGTGAAATGTTGTGGACTACATACGTGCATAGTGTAAGGCAATTTGGATAATAATGTAACAATGTCATGAGTTTCCGCCACCCAGGAGTTCCCGCCAATTCCGAGCCAATAGTGTGAAGGCCTTAGGCGTGTTTTCGACCAATGAGAAGGCCTATGAGGAGTGACGTCATGAAAGTTGTGGCGTCTCTTGTAGGCTGACGCGGTTTGAACAGGAGTCTGTGTTGGAATTTTGTGTAGAGAGGTGTGGGATGTCTGTGGTGGCGACATGGCAGGTATTTGGGTGTTTTCTATTTGGTAAATCCTTAAGTTTCAATTTGTTGTGAGATATGTGGTTCCCGTTTAACTAGCTAGGAGCATAGGTTTATTATTTTGAAGTAACTGTTAAACCCTAATATAAAATATTCAATAAATACAGTAACCGTTAATAATAGTCCTAATTCATCTCTCCCTTATTGAGAAAGAGTGATGTGTTATACATGTCTTGGTATTATGCAGTAACACGGTGAGTCATATATATATACTACAGTCAACCCTCACTTTACGCGGTCCCACATTCCGTGTTTCCACGTGTTTACACGGTGCCCTGCCAGAACCCAGGATGCTCACATTCCGCGGTGGGTGTACCCCTTTACACGGGTGAAGTATAATTTTTTTATTTAGCTCATAAAATTCATACAAATTATACGGCCAGAATATAATTTACATTGCTGGAATTCTTACAATTTGATGATCAATTTGAATATAAACATCATAGATTTTGCATTAGACATACAAATTTTAGATATAATGTTTACTCTGAGTAAATATGTTATCTTTTGTGCAAAATATATGACATTTATATTCAAAATATTCCTGGTCTTACAAGGAATCCAGCAATGTCAATTATATTATCCTAACTTTAGTCTGATTTATTATTTATTACTAAAAAGGTAAACAGTCGTGTATTCCCACACATTCATCTGGTTGGTGGGGGGTGGGAGGGAGGGAGAGACCGGCGACCGACCACCTGGCACCACGGTGTGAAGAATATTTTTTTTTTTTATTAACTGAAGAAATTTGTTTTAGCTCATAAAATTCATACAAATTACCCGGCCAGAATATAATTTACATTGCTGGAATACTTACAATTTGATGATCATTTTGAATACAAACATCATATATTTTGCATTAGACATACAAATTTTAGATATAATGTTTACTCTGAGTAAATATGTTATCTTTTGTGCAAAATATATGACATTTATATTCAAAATATTCCTGGTTTTACAAGGAATCCAGAAATGTCAATTATATTATCCTAACTTTAATCTGAGGTATTATTTAATACTAAATGTTAAAATCTAGTTTTTTCACCCAACCTTTCTCTTGAAGGGAGGATTCGTGGGGGGTGGGAGGGAGGGTTGGGACGGACCGACCATCTGGCCTGGTTGGAAGAGGAGGGGAGGCAAGGTGGGGTACTTTGATTGACAGATAGTGTCGTGAAGAATATTTTTTTTTTTATTAACTGAAGATATTTATTTTAGCTCATAAAATTCATACAAATTACCCGGCCAGAATATAATTTACATTGCTGGAATTCTTATAATTTGGTGATCATTTTGAATATAAATATCATATATTTTGCATTAGACATACAAATTTTAGATAAAAAAATTTTCTGAGTAACTATGTTATCTTTTGTGCAAAATATATGACATTTATATTCAAAATATTCCTGGTCTTACAAGGAATCCAGCAATGTCAATTGTATTATCCTAACTTTAGTTTGAGGTATTATTTATTAAAATTTAGTGGTTTTCCCCCAAAATTTCTCAGAGAGGGAAGAGCCGGCAGTGTAGTGTGAGAGGGGGAGGGAGTTGAGTCCATTATTTGAATGGACATTAACTTGGCGACTGTATTTCTCTATTTCTCTTAAGTATTAATTGTGTGCATGTACCATCATAAAATTAAGATGTTATTTTTACTACAACATAGTTATGTGTCTTCAAAAAGTGGAGTTTGGGGGTCGGGCCGGTTTCTATTGGAATTAATCCCATATGTTCTGTTGTTCACTTAACGCGGATTTCACTTAACACGGGACCCTCTGGGTTCTATTGACCGCATAAGTGTGTGTATATATATATATATATATATATATATATATATATATATATATATATATATATATATATATACACACACACACAGTATTGTCTGCATTTACGCGTTCAATTGAACCCGTGGAGGTCCGCGTAAAACGAGATACGCGTAAACGAAATAACAGAACATATGGGATTAACTGAAATAGAGACTGGGCCGACCCCCAAACTCCACTTTTTCCGACACAATACGTACCTTGTAGTAAAAATAACATCTTAATTTTATGATGGTATGCACACACAATTAATATTTAAGAGAAATATCAATAATATTAGGTTTTTTAACATTTACGTTAGTAAAAAAGATGGGTCGGCACACGTGGATGGCGGCTGGTTCTGAGGAAGAGGGCAGATTAGTTGCCCTCCGGTGAATCACTTTCACTACTCGCAGAGGTTTGCCGGGCCTCCCAGAAAAACCCCTCAAAGTCCATATCCTCACTGTCACTTATCACTATCACTGATTTGGGCTGGCTGTGGTGGGTTGCGGGCAAGGAAGTCTTTAATACTACGTTGACAACTAGCATAGTTATCATCGAGATAGATCTGGATATACGGCTCCATAACTTTCGTCAGATGGTTATTAGACACTTCATACTGATGCTTGTCTGGGTCGTTGTCAAGGATGAGCTTAATTTTCTCCCCCAACTCGATGATTTCCTTCATGCTTGGTCCAGGTAATTCAAGGATTTTCTCGGGTGGTGGGGGTCCAGCGGAAGCCATTGTGAGGGGAATAGCGGGCACAAGAGAGAACTGTATACGCGGACTGAGAACAATGAGACAGGCCCGGCTAGGTAAGCGACTTCTATCCTCTGGTGGCAGGGCACATCATGTTACATTAGACCAATCACAGCTAGCGGCGGAGGGAATGCGTGGCTTCACAATCGGCTTATGCAGTTGTCACCTACCTGAGGACTGTAGACCAGGAAGGAAGAATTGACTGTTCCTTTGTGTGTGGCAGAGCCCGACTAGCACCTTTAAAGCAACAAACCATACCACGGCTAGAACTTTGTGCTGCTGTACTGGCAGTACATGCTGATACAACAGTGCGACATGAACTCGGTGTACCACTGGCGGACTCTGTGTTTTGGACGGATAGTATGATGGTGTTGAAGTATATGGGGTAACGCTGGGAAACTTTTCCACACCTTTGTTGCAAACAGTGTGTCGGTTATAAGAGAAGTCACAGACATGAGGCAATGGAGACATGTCAGCTCAGAGCAGAACCCGGCAGATGATGCAACACGAGGAATAACCGCTTCACAGATGCTGGAGGATTGTCGTTGGACCCAGAGTCCAAGGTTTATAAGGCTACCTCCCGAGCATTAGCCAAAGGCACCGCTGGTTGACATGGAGCTCGAGGGCGATCCTGAATTGAAAGGGGACGTGACTTCACTGACCTCCATAGTAGACAAGATCAAAGAACCCTTGCAGTGCTTGTGTGAAAAGTACTCTTCTTGGCTCCAGCTTCAAAGAGGAGTAGCTTGGATCCGGAGGGTTATCAACGTCCTCAAAGATAAAACACCAACAGCAAACATTACCGTGTTAAGTGTGTCAGAGTTACGACAAGCCAAGACAGCAATTTTCAGAGTGATACAGAGAGAGCGGTACCAACAAGAAATGAGGCTCACTCCAAAGAAAAGGTTGACACGCCAGAGTGAGCTTTATCGTCTAGAACCATACATGTCTAATGATGGCCTGATAAGGGTTGGAGGAAGGCTGAACAGTGAATGGGCGGCAACACATGATGGGCCAATACTGCTCCCACGTGATCATCTGGTGACTATGCAAATTGTATGAGAAACACATGCAGTGCATGTAGGACATTCTGGAAGGGAGCACATGCTTTCATTGTTGTGTCCAAATTTCTGGATACCTAAGTGTCATTGTCTGCTGGATAAGATTTCCAAGGCATGCACTGTCTGCCGTCGCAACAACTGGGTGTCCGTGCATCAAAGGGAAGCCGTGCTGCCAGCAGATCGGACCTGGCCATGAAAGCCTGCCTTTGCCTTCACAGGATTGGATTGTTTTGGTCCGTTCCAGAACAAACAAGGGCGCAAGACAGCCAAGCGTTATGGGTGTCTGTTCACATGCTTGACAACCCATGCAGTCCATCTGGGAGTGCTCAACACACTTGATGCCGATGCTCTCATCAATGCAATCACCTGTTTCATGGCACACAGAGGTACTGCTGAACGCATATGCTCAGATAATGGTACAAACATGGTTGGAGCCTGCAAAGAACTCAGGGCAGCTGCTCACAACTGGGTGGCAGACAAACACAAACAGCAACATCTTTTGAAGATGGAGGTGGAGTGGGTGTTCAATCCCCCAGCTGCATCACATAAGGGAAAGACAAATCCAAACAGTGCGTAAGGTGCTTAGGGCAATCGTCGGGTCTCAAGTGGTTGACGATGAGCAACTACAG